GTTTATTTGTATCCGGTATCGATTCGTTGACTTTTTGGCCTCCGGGCGCCCTGGAACGATCAGAGTTCCTTTTGTATCAGGTACCGTATTGAAGCCTTCCACAAAAAGGAGTCCTTGAGAAATCCGCAGCAAAAAGATCCGATTGAAATCCTCCACGGAAGGATCCCCATTGAAATCCTCCGCAGAAGGATTCCTATTGAAATCCTCGCAGGAGGAGGAAGAGGAGGGGGAAGAGAAGGAGGAGGAGGAAGAGGAGGAGGAGGACAGGAGGAGAGGAGGAGGAGGAGGAGGACGAGGAGGACGAGGAGGGGGAGCCTGGAACGCAACGATGACATATTATTTGTAACCAGTATCGATTTTTCCAAACCCTCCTGCGTTGGGTTCTCGTTTTGAATAGAGCACTGCTCGCGAGTTCTCCTTCCTTCCTTCCCGTCCCTCTCTTCCCCCCTGCCTTTGACCTCGCCATCCCTGGGGGGCTGCGATCTGTGAAACCGTTGCCACTTTCGAGGGCTGCTGGGGGGCCCAGCACAGTGGGTACCCACCGCGGACTCAAATTAGACCTCGCCATCCCTGGGGGGCTGCGATCTGTGAAACTGTCGCCACTTTCGAGGCCTGCTGGGGGGCCCAGCACAGTGACGCCACACGCAGATTCAAATTAGACCTCGCCATCCCTGGGGGGGCTGCGATCTTTGAAACTGTCGCCACTTTCGAGGCCTGCTGGGGGGCCCAGCACAGTGGGTACACACGGCGGATTGAAATTGCACCTCGCCATCCCTGGGGGGTTGCGATCTGTGAAACTGTCGCCACTTTCGAGGCCTGCTGGGGGGCCCAGCACAGTGGGTACACACGGCGGACTCAAATTTGACCTCGCCATCCCTGGGGGGCTGCGATCTGTGAAACTGTCGCCACTTTCGAGGCCTGCTGGGGGGCCCAGCACAGTGGGTACACACCGCAGGCTCAAATTAGACCTCGCCATCCCTGGGGGGCTGCGATCTGTGAAATTGTCGCCACTTTCGAGGGCTGCTGGGGGGCCCAGCACAGTGGGTACTCACCGCGGGCTCAAATTAGACCTCGCCATCCCTGGGGGGTTGCGATCTGTGAAACTGTCGCCACTTTCGAGGCCTGCTGGGGGGCCCAGCGGAGTGACGCCCTACGGGGATTCAGATTAGACCTCGCCATCCCTGGGTGGCTGCGATCTGTGAAACTGTCGCCACTTTCGAGGCTGCTGGGGGGCCCAGCGGAGTGACGCCCTACGGGGATTCAGATTAGACCTCGCCATCCCTGGGGGGCTGCGATCTGTGAAACTGTCGCCACTTTCGAGGCCTGCTGGGGGGCCCAGCGCAGTGACGCCACACGCAGATTCAATTTAGACCTCGCCATCCCTGGGGGGCTGCGATCTGTGAAACTGTCGCCACTTTCGAGGCCTGCTGGGGGGCCCAGCACAGTTGGTACGCACCGCAGATTCAGATTAGACCTCGCCATCCCTGGGGTGCTGCGATCTGTGAAGTGAAACTGTCGCCACTTTCGAGAGCTGCTGAGGGGCACAGCACAGTGGGTACCCACCGCAGACTCAAATTAGACCTCGCCATCCCTGGGGGGCTGCGATCTGTGAAACTGTCGCCACTTTCGAGGCCTGCTGAGGGGCACAGCACAGTGGGTACCCACCGCGGACTCAAATTAGACCTCGCCATCCCTGGGGGGCTGCGATCTGTGAAACTGTCGCCACTTTCGAGGGCTGCTGAGGGGCACAGCACAGTGGGTACCCACCGCAGACTCAAATTAGACCTCGCCATCCCGGGGGGGCTGCGATCTGTGAAACTGTCGCCACTTTCGAGGGCTGCTGAGGGGCACTGCACAGTGGGTACCCACCGCAGACTCAAATTAGACCTCGCCATCCCTGGGGGGCTGCGATCTGTGAAACTGTCGCCACTTTCGAGGGCTGCTGGGGGGGCACAGCACAGTGGGTACCCACCGCAGACTCAAGTTAGACGCCGCTTTCGTCCTTGTTCTCCTCCTGCAGTCACCTTCCCTCTGCTGCTGCCGTGCTGATGGTTCGGCTTCCCGCACGTTATTCTCCTGCTCTGCGTTCCCGACTCCCTATGTCTTCTTCGAGCCTGTAGTTGTCGCCCCTCGTTCTTGTATGGTTCTCCTGCGCATCATGCCATAGGTGCGTGTCCCAAGTAGCTTACACATCAAGTCGATTGTCCATGCAAGTTTCGGCCAACTCCTCGTTTCCATTGATACAAATGGGTTGGGTACGTCACAGGGTAATTTCACCAAGAAGACATATTATTTTGCATATATGTTTCAAAGAAAGCGCCGCCCCGTATCTATTCGTACCTAGTTTCTGTAAGAACGATTGCTGTTGGCTGTGCTCTCGGCGCGAACAAGATCCACGATACTGGTCGAAGCGATGAACAACGGGATGGGGAGAGTGGGAAGCCGTAGCGATGAGGAGTGAGGAGACGAGCGACGACGACAATAACGTCGAGGAGTAGGATGGATACCAACGACGAAGCGAACTTCAGGATAGAACTGGGTCGGAACAGGGAACCGTAGGATGGGGAGGGCAAAGAGGAGGAGCAGGAGGAGGAGGAAGAAGAGGAGGGAGGAGAAGTGATTCGGACGATGAGCGCGGACGAGGAGGAGGAGGAGGACGAGGAGGAATAGGAGGAGGACGCGCGGCGAGGAGGCAAGAGGATCGAGGTAAAGTTGGAGGGAGCGTCAGACGGAGAACGTGGAGGAGGGGGAGTCAGGACGGGGATGAAGTCGATCAGCGATTGAGGGAAATGGCTCTTCTGCTTCTTCCTCCTCGTCCTCATGATCGTTCGGCTCGCCCGCCGTCCGTGATTTCCCACTTCACTTCCTCCTCCTCCTCCTCCTCATCATCATCATCATCGCCGTCCTAACTGGCATGTGTTTTAGCATGTGCTTTTATCTCTCCTGTTTGTGGTAATTGAGATGTCTAGGCCTGGCAGAGACATGGCGCCGCGTCTATTCGCTTTTATTTTTGGTAGACATGTTTTCCAGCGATGGGCGCCATATTGAACCTTATCTAAACACATCTAAGCATATCTGTTCGTATCCAACAATGGCTTGGTATCTAAATTCTGGAAGAAAAACCTGTCGTATTTATAAAAGGAACAAATCACATCTAAGCGTATCTATATTTGAAACAGATCTATTCGTATCGAATTCCTTCATGCAAACGCCGTGTAAGACAGATGATGCAGGGAGGAATTTTAGATACCATCCGGTCCTTCCGAACGCAACTGCCGTTGCGGAAAAGAGCGACCAACATAGATTTTTAGGTGTGTCTTCCAGGGAGGCCGTCCAAGATCGCCCGATGATGGCTTCGGAACGCCCGAAAACGCGCTCCGATGGCTCTGGATGCGTTTCAAGACGACTCCCACGACGCCAAGAAGGCCCCCGAAGGAACCGAAGACGCCCAAAGAGGCATCCCAATAGAGCCCCAATATGCAAAAATCATAGACTTCCGATTGGAAAGCTGATGTTTCTGGCGTGTTCGCCTTGTGGGCTTCCACTGCGTCCAAGACGGCCCAAGAGGCGCCCAAGACGGTCGAGGATGCCCCCGAGAGGGCCCCAAGACGGCCCACAGAGGGCCAAGACGGCCCACGAGGCGCCCAAACCGCCCAAGAACGCCCCAAGTCGGCGCCCAAGACGGGGACGAGGAACCGGAAATTCGAGCGTTTTGGCCCAAGAGGCCACCAGGAGATTCCAAGAGGCTCCAAGAAGCGCCCGAGAAGCCCCAAGAGGCCCCATGAGACCGGACAAAACCACCAAAAGAGGCTCCGAAGACGCCCCAAGAGGCACCCCAATAGAGCTCCAAGCAAACATCGTCGATTTCCGATTGGGGGAACTTATACATTTGGCGTGTGCGCCTTTTGGGCTTCCACTGCGTCCAAGACGGCCCAAGAGGCGCCCAAGACGGTCGAAGATGCCCCCAAGAGGGCTCCAAGACGTCCCACGAGGGGGCCAAGACGGCCCACGAGACGCCTAAACCGCACAAGAACGCCCCAAGTCGGCGCCCAAGACGGGGACGAGGAACCAGAAATTCGAGCGTTTTGGCCCAAGAGGCCCCCAGGAGATTCCAAGAAGCGCCCGAGAAGCCCCAAGAGGCCCCCAAGAGACCCGCTAAAACACAAAAAGAGACCCCGAACACCCCCAATAGAGCCCCAATATGCAACCATCGTCGATTTCCGATAGGAAAACTGATGTTTTTGGCGCGTTCGCCTTTTGAGCTTCCACTGCGTCCAAGACGGCCCAAGGGGCACCCACGCCGGTCGAGGATGCCCCCAAGGGGGCCCTAAGACGGACCCCGAGGCGCCCAAACCGCCCAAGAACGCCCCAAGTCGGCGCCCAAGACGGGGACGAGGAACCGAAGATTCAAGCGTTTTGGCCCAAGAGGCCCCCAGGAGACCCAGAGGCTCCAAGAAGCGCCCAAGAAGCCCCAAGAGGCCCCCAAGCGAGCCGACAAAGCATCAAAAGAGGCCCCGCAACAGCCCCCCAATGGGCCCCCCGAAACGGCCCAAGAGAGCACCAGGGCGCGCCCAAGAGGGTCGACCAGAGAGGTGGTCCGACTTTCCACACTCTACACAGGGTCCGTCCCCGGCGGTGCCTCAAGCAGGTGTTGCCACTGGAGTCTTGACTTGCCTGAGACAAACTCCAAACATTTTTTCGCACAACGATTCATGTGTCTGTGAGAACTTCAGCGCGCGCGAAGCGCGCGCGTGGTTCTAGTTTTAAAAACCCAAGCCCACGTCGACCTGACGGGAATCAGCCGTAATGAGGAGGAGTGCGGCATTTTGGGCGCGCCCGAGCCATTCGAGACGAATCACAGTGTTTGCTGACGCATGTCTACTCAGCTTCGCTCGTTCTTCTCACCAGCATAATAAGTTTTTGAACGAATCGTTGGGAACGGCGGATGTTGAGGCCTCCAGCCATTGCTACCCTGAGAAGTTTTTGAGAAAAGGGGGAGCATGTCAAACCTTGATAACCCGGTGATGGGTCGGCCGATTGTTGACGAAGGGCGTAGTTTGGCTATTATCGGAGGGGCTGACAGCCTGAAAGGCGGACGACTTGGGCAGGAGATCGATGCCCATGGTGAGGTCGTACGCTTCAACGAGATTGTCGGCAGCAAGTTGGTGCCAGAGGAGACAGGCAACAGGGCAGGAAGAGGAGGATATTGAGGATGAGGGGGAGAAGGAGGGAGGACAAGGGTCAAGGGTAAACCCGGGATGCATGAGCGATTCTGCAACGCACTCTCCTGTTCCAAGTTCCCCCCTCACAGGTCCCCACAATCTTCTTTTTCACCATGGGAAGCGTCCCCTGCCATGCAGACGATAGCTCCGTTTTGAAGAGGATCCCCCGTGCAACGTTCTAGGCAGAAACGAGACAAAGAGGTGCGATCAGCGAGGGACTCACTTCGAACATCTGCCAGCTTCTAGCCGTCTAGTTGTTGCACATGCTGAACACTTCGGATCATGAAGGGCAGCAGTAGTCTTAAAGTGAGGACCGTTTTGTCTTTTGCAGTGGTCTAGGTTCCTCCTCGATCTTGTCTTAGGCGCTAGTTGGACCCCAAACCAGTCTTCGTTCAGTATATCAGGTTTACTATTGCAAAACAGTTGGTTTTCGCGAGGGGTTCTCGAGCAAACCTCCGTATTGACAAGGAGCATTTCTGCGTATTATAAGTATTGCTCATACAGGTTTGAACAAATCGTTAGCAATAACCTTGTCTGAACATTAGTGTGTCTTTATTCTTGCAATTTGCGGATGCTTGTGTAAGACGACCGTGCGCGTCGTTCATTGTCCGCGGAGTTCAGGGGAATCAATCTTCATGCTGCGTCCGTATTGCTGGCGTAGATATACAGCTTCCAGACCCTGTGGTGAGGAATTCCCGGGTGGAACGCCCAGGCTACATTCCAGACACGAATGGTGGTGTGCAGATGACGGTGAGGAGGCGTTCAGAAGGAAGTGGGATGGAGGGACGAGTAGAAGGACGAGGAGGAGGAGGAGGACGAGGAGGAGGAAAAGGAGGAGGAGGAGGAGGAGGAGGGTTGCAGGCAGCCGGACGACTGTGCACGTCATGAACACCCTGGTGGCGCCTCTTGACGACCCAGCGATCCTCGAAGTTGACTTGGAGACTAACGCACCATGGTCCTCTTATTGCAAAAGGATGCATACCAGGGCTATCCTCGCAAACGATGCTCGCAGTACGCTGATGATTAGACCGAGTGCGTATTGCGTAATGGCTGGAATCCGCGCGGCGGACTGGACAAGAGGATTTTTGTTCTATTGGTTCATAGGCCGCCTATTCAACGGTCCAGTGGACCTATACGGCTTCAGCGGCAACGGCCACTACCACAACGATCTGGAAATAACTGAGAAGTGGGTGCAATTCGAGCATTTGTTCTACCGCGTGAACAACATTACGCGCCACTGATCTATGATATGGTCGCCTTCGGCCCAACCCGCCCCCCTGCATGAGTTGTGGACCAGAGGCCTCTCATGTATCTCTGGGGAGACATTGTGGAGGCCTGTTTTATTGCCTCTCTGTCTCCTGGTTGCCTCTTGGGGGCTTCTTTGGTGCCTCTTGGAAGCCCCCTTGCGGTCTCAGAGGTCATCTAGGGGGAAAGGCTCGAAATGTCAGTTCGTGCCCCCTCTTGCTCTCCTCTTGGGACTTTCTTGGGGCCCCGAAGGCCCTCTTGCACGATCCGAAGACCGAAAAGGCTGACACAACGAACAACATGTTTTGTCAATGATTTTGACCTCTTGGGTCGGCTCGCAGAGCCTCCTTCAGGGCCCAAGAGACTCCCAGGAGGGTTCGGGCCTGGCCCTGGAGCCAGCTTGAATCATGCTGGACGCGTGAGATCCCAGACCTCCTCGCGTTGTGAAAAAGTCAAGGCGGGAGGTTTTTCGCTGTTTTCGTCCTCTGGGGGCCCGTCCCAGGCCTCGGGGCCGTCAACAAATTCTTCTGGATGAAAAACCGGTCCCGCGTTGTGAAGAAGTCAAGACGGGAGGTTTTTCATTATTTTCGTCTTTTGGGGGCCCTTCCCTGGCCTCGGGACTGTCAGACAACTAACTATTCTGGATGCAAAGCCGGTCCCAGGGAAGGGGTCCAGTCCTTTGGGGGTCGACGCTGCGACAAAAATCACGACGTCTCGGGCCGGACGAAAGGGGGGGATTGGGAAAGGGGGGGTTACGAAACTTGCTGCATGCAGCTGGTCTCGGCCCCACCGAGGGGCCCATTCCTCGATACATAGCCGTTTCTCGGCGCCGGGAGGCGCCGGGAAAATCAGCTACGTGAGCTGATTCTCAAGCCCCCCCCTTTGCTATCCCCCCGTTTCGCCCGACCCGAGCTCGGGGCCCGCCTGCGGAGGGCGGGAAGGCAGGAATGGAGGAGGGAATCAAAAAAGAGAGAGAGAGAGAGAGAGAGCCACGCTCCCCCGCTCCAGCCTGCCCCGTGGCGCGCACACTGCG